CCCCTGAGGATGAAGAAGAAGTTCCCACTTCATGCTTTCCCCTCAATACGTTGAAGGCTTTGAGGTGGATGGTCAAGGTGGCCACCGTTTCTTTTCCGGATCTTTACACAGGCCTTTTTCACTCAGTGGCTCACCAACGTAACGAAGCTGATCGTCGAGAGTCAGTGCCTTTGCCACTGGATTTTGTTGCTTATTTGGAGTTTTGCTTGATCTCAAATGCTTTTCCTGATCTGCAATTGAACATCGGGGCGCTCCTTGTTATGATTTGGGGCTCTCTGCGGTTCAGCGATGCCATGCACGTGAAGTGGGGATCCTTACTTTACGAACAAGAGATGGGCCGTGGAATTTCTTTCCGGACCAAGACCGCAGTGCGTCGTGGTGCTCCTTTTGGTGTCGTAGGAGTGGGTCTGGTCGGCCCATGGTTCCCGCTATGGCTTGCTTTACTGAAAAACGAATGGTGTCGTATTGGTAAGGTGACGGGCCCCGTGCTCAGCTTTGTCCCGCCATCGATGTGGATGTGGATCTGGCAGGTGCTACTTTCACTTTGGCATCGGACCCTGGTGATGTTGTGGCCCCAGAGAAGGCAGCCACACTTCCTTTGCACTCGTCAGGTGAGCCAGGATCCCCGGATGAGCTTCTTTTCATCATCACTGCCAAGACTATTCACAAGGCAGTGGTTTGCTCCGAGCTCGATCGTTGCACTACTTTCCAAGGAGTGCACCTGAAACCCGCTTGCGGGTGTATAGTCAGTGTCTTCCAAGTGGTGCATTTTGCACCCACAGGCAAGAAGCTTCGCAGACACAAGGCATGCTTGGAGCTTTGAGCTGTTGGGAAAAACCTTTTTCAGGTGCAGGCAGGAAGTGCATGTGAGTGCAGTGCATGTGCTTTCTTCTTGGTTGTCTCTGCCAGCCTCGCCTGTCACAGCCTCGGCTCGCTTCCAGCTTTAGCGTACTAACGTTTCGGGGGATTCCCGACTGCTTTGCGTACAAGGCCCGTTGCACAGCTTGCGTGAACAGTTAGCTTTTCTGCATGAGTGCTTTTACAGTACAAGTTTAGCACTGCAGTTGCGTTGCTCGCTTCCCACGGTCTTGGCGCGGCGGCTTTACGCCGATAGCGCCACTACTTCGTACTTTGTGTCGCTATAGCGCCCTAATCTGCGTCAAATCAGCTTTTGCGTTGTACTAGCGTCCTAATTCGCCGGGGGTCTAAACTCTCGAAGCTTCGTTGTAGCTTTTCTTTGCTTAGCTTTGGCTTGCAGCTTCAACTTACTTCTCGCGTTTCCGGCAAAGTCAAAAATAGTCTCTCTGCTTGCTTTGCTCTGTAGCTCGTAGCGTGTCTTGGGTTAGGTAAAGTTGAACTGAAACGATAAGAATGCCGTTAGCGAGCTAATGCCCTTTGTCGTTTCACCGCGATGGGCTCGCAATGTGCAACCCCCGAAAAAAGATCATGAATTTATTTCACATTGAATTTGTTTGATTGAGAGTTTCTCAGCATGTTGTTGCAAACTTTCTGCTATATGACAGCTTATGCTCAGACGTGGAATCATGTTATCATGTGGACACTTGTGATCATGTTGACAACAACATACCTTAATAGTGCTACTATGACTACAACAGTGTGAGCAGAATTCTTCTTCACCCGCCCTCCCAAGCCCTATGGATGATGTGTCACCGAATTCACCCCTGTTCGCCCATGCGAGAAAACAATCGTGGAGCGCATTTGACTGCGAGTGTTTCGAAGTTTCATAAACATGCTATTACAGTGAAAGAACATATATTCGATGATTGCAACGTCTTCTATTTCTGATGATCAATGTATTGTGGATTCTGAAACAGATGATTTTCAATCCGTCTATGATACACACATGTCTACGTTCCTGACAACTGTAGAGGGTCGCGCTGAAACGATAAGAACTGGCAACCGGCTGTGTGCCGTTAGAGGATGCGGACGACTTTGCCGAGCAACAAGCAGTTTGATTGAATACCAGCGTTCTGCCAGGTCCCTCGAGGCGCCGGTGGCCAGTGATGCGGTTTCAGCGGTTTTGAAGTGAACTCTTCCGTCCCTTGCCGCTTGTAAAATGCTGCTCACTCTACCTTTGAGCATTCCGGCCTGTGAGCTCAAGGTCAGCCCGCAGAATTTTGGCATAGGAGTGGTCAACTTCGCGGAGAGAGCCCTGCAGATGCGTTGTTGCTCAGAAACTGAAGCTTGGCGATTGTGCTTGTCTCTAATCCTTGCTGTGTCGGTGGGCCTGGCGCAGCTGTGCCAGCCGGTCCTGCAGCTGCAGGAGGCCCAAAGCTTTGATTTGTCTTGGTATGAGCTGGCACGCCTCGCGGTTTGGTGGTGGCTCATTTTAGATGAGCTCAGCTCTCGACCGGGCTCTTAAAGGCTAAAAATCGCCGGTGCGCGACGGCAGCCTTATTCAGATGCCGCTGGCCCAAACGAGCGCCAACTAGCAAGCGTACCACTGCCAGAAGGGGCGCGCTTCTTGACTCCCCGCTGCTCCATTGTGGAACACTTATGTCGGTTCAGCTTTTGTTGTTGTACCTCATGCGTGCGCTCATTGATGCGCCCGATACTTACTCATTCATCTCATTCCTGGCTGTGCGACAGCCTGAGCAACATTCCAACGGACGAGGCGGAGTTTGCCTCCTCTTGTTGGGGCTCGCGGTTACAGTGCCTGCACGGGCGGTATGCCAGCTGCAGTATGAAGTCGCTCAACGCATGGTGGACGCCATGGGCGAATACTGCTGGGCGACCACGAGTTCGACCCTGGCCCTGGCATGTTTGCCCACCCTAGTGCCTATACGGGTACATTCCGTGTCATGCTTCCCATGGAGGACATTGCCCTGGGCTTGGGCGCGGCTCGTCTCTGGGTGTAGAGTAGGTCAATGAAGATCGCTGGCGCTGCGAGTTTTGCACATCGGAAAGAGTATTTGATTCGACATGGGTTGCCAACACAAATCGCATGCCCTAAAATTATTTCGTTTTCGCTTCGTTCGACTGGGGTGGTACAAGTTGAAGGATTTCCGTGCGAAGGTCATGCACGCTATCTTGGAAAGCTTCGACCAGGCTGTTTGGCTTCTGGACTTTGGTGTGCTCGACTCGTTGAAAAACAAGACGCGAGGGTTGTCCGTTGTCCGACGGGACTAGAACGGCGGCCGGAGCCTTGTTTTGGGCTCCACTCGTTGTCTTGGGTGACTCCGGACGACGGTCCGCTGTTGCCTTAGCTTGAGTCGCTAAGCGGGGCTTTCTTTTAATGCTGAACAGCTCATGCTGACCAAGTCCGCATGCTGCAGCATGTACGTAATCTCGTTCTCTAATTCTTCCGTTTCACCGCTGTTTTTGTGTGTTGGTTGTTTGTTTAATGTTTACAGGGACCGAGTGCTGCAGCTGCAGCCAACGAGGCCCGCCAACGCCAAAAGATTTCGCATTCGTGTAGGGTTCTAAAGACTCTTTTGAACTGGGTTCTGCAGCTGTTCACTGGCCATCACTTTTGCACTTGTGCTTGCCGCCCTTTGTTCGCACCCGGATCGAGTGATGATGAGCTGCGAATTGCCCAGAGGGTTTCGCCGAACTCAGCATTTGAAGCGTCCACGCCTGTCAGTGCAACGCTTTTTCAGTGTCTGGTATGTTGTAGTGCATTTGTACCAAGTTGAGGGTAAGAGTCGGAGCCAATCCCAGCCCGAATTCCGTTTTTTTTGCATGTCAAAACTAGAAGCTCAAGAACATTTATCGCACAAGCATGATTTTTGTTTGCAGAATCGATGGAGCGCATTATGTGTCTCATACATGTTTCTACCCAATGCCACAAAAAATATGGCCATTGACAAACATAGAATATCTGTTATTTTAATTATTCTTCGAAGTCTTGCTTGCTTATCATCTCAAGATGTCCCAGGCCTTTGTTTGCGACTCCCTGCAACACCGCATAAGAGCGCGACCGCTTGTAACCCATTTCGACTCACTGCACGGATGGTTTTGGTCTACTGCCAGGAAACGTGGCAATTGTGTTTGCTTAGAGAGAATCTCGCATGCACATGCTATGCAACTGCTTCAGAATGGAATTCGCAGTTCTGTTGGAAAATTCGTTCTGAGTCCTAATATTTTCTTTGCATTAAGTGCCACGCATCGTCGTGGATCCATTAGCGATCGTATTTGGAAGGGATGCGTCCTGCCCTGGATTTGAGCCGTGTGAGTCGTTGCAAGAATGCGTTTGTAATTGGAAACGAGCTCTGTGCAGATCAAGGTTTTCTTGTTTCTTTTTTCATGTTCGCTGTTTGCTTCCCTTAGAAGCATCGCTTCTTCTTTTCGAGTTGGAAGGAAGACTAAGCAAGAACCTGGGTTTCGAACCCAGGTTCTTTTTGAACTTGGGTTCGAACCTGGTTTTGAGCAAAGGCGGTGTATTGTTTTGCTTCGCAGTGTACAGTCCCAACACCGTTTCTTTCGTCGTTTAGAAGTAGGACACTCGATTTCGGATCTGGCTTCGAAGCAAAGTTTCGAGTCTGGGTTTGAACCTTGGCTACTATTTGCCTTGGTGCTACATTGAGGGTCCAGGAGTCTAGAGGGTGGGGTTTCAGGTGGTTCCAGCTTAGGGGTTTAGGCTTGAGGAGTTGAGGGTTCAGAGGTTTAAGGGGTTCATGGGGTTTATCGTCTGGGTTGAGGGTCCAGCGGGTAAGGTTTTGCGGGTCTCTGACACAACACATGGCCTGCATTTGGCGCAAGTCTCGACACGGAAGTCAGCAAATCATGTAGTTGTAGCAGCTGTATGGTGTAGCAAAGGTTTGAGTTTAGTTTGTTGAAGCCGCAGCTGACACTGCAGCTTGATTCTAATGACACTGTTGAGCACCATGCCTTCATACTGGTTCGTGAAGCCAATTTCTGCTTTGTTGCCTCAAGTTGCTGGCTCAAACGCGATTCACACGAAGAGTTGAAAGTGGCAACGGGCCTCGTAGCAATCCTTCCAAAGTCTTGCAGCATTCACATTCAACTGTTCCAGCAACATGAACGAAAGTGCACCACCTTTGCTTCAAGGAGGCATGGGGAATTCTTGATGTTCATGGCACGCCTGTCAAGCTTTCAGGGAAGAGTCTTCTGGTGGCTGCTGGCACGTGCAGGTGGCATCCTCGGACGGTTTGAGAATGTCCGCGTGAAAAAGAGCGCCAAGAAGACCGTCACGTGTGATGTCGGCGACCAAGTGTAGAGCAGGGGTTTGCAGATATTCAACACCGTCTATAGAGGTCTTTTGGTTCATCATGGCAGTGATGCGGTGAGTTGGGTTCCTCTCGCCGTGTAGAGATCGGAAGTTCAAAGGCGATTTCAGGTTTTGGCTCGTCAGGCAACACTTTCTTCGGTTGTAGGGTTTCTCTTGCGCTTGGCCTGTTGGGCCTTGTTGCTTCCTCATTTATGCTTGATGAGGCTGCGACCCCAGAATACTTGCGCCACGATTTCCTGAAGCCGCAGTTGTCACCTCAGTCACGTCACTGGCTAGACCTGAATGCGAGTCCGCGCAAGAGCAGGTGTGGCTGCAAGACGGAGATGCCAAATACCCACATTGACAGGAGTTTTTCAGGCTTTCGTTTGCTCTTGAGGCATCTGCCAATCGAACGAGTTGATGAACAAGCCAACTTCATTGCCACCAGTAACATTAACGAGACTCGTTTCCACAAGGTGGGACCTCACCTTGTTTGACTGTGTAAACTTTGGGGTAGTTGAGCTCATGCAGGGCTTCCATCGCCGTCACCAGCCGCGAGCTCAGTCGAAAGAGATCGTGAGAACTTGCGGATTCGAAGCTTGTTAAATCTGAGGGCGGACATTCAGCAGGACGCTGCTCGACTTGAACACGAAGCGGCCAAGCCGGCCTGAGTTGAAGGCGACGCACGTACTCGGAGCTGGAGCGTTCAGAATCTGTCACAGGCCAGAGACTGGGCGCGTCAGGAGCGGGCAGTCTGTGCTTCCGTGTGTGGCATGCCTCCGGACAGACCCTGCAGAGCGTTCTTCGCAGGAGCGGGCAGCTGCACAGGCTTCAGCAGCACATCACCTGCGCGACAAGCCTCTGGGCGGCGAAAGTTGGCAGTCGCAGATCCCGTCCGGTCGCCTCGCGTCTCGCCTCGCGTCTCGCCTCGAGGTGCACCTTCAACATCCTGACGGGCGAAGGGGTGGGCAGAGAGTGCGAGTGTCGGCCTGAGTTCCGGGCTTTTCCTGAACGCGCCCTTTAGCAGAGCCCTTTTTGGGGGGAGGTTTCGACATGTCGGGAAAAAGATTCTGAACCCGTACGGCAGCATGCAGGCGCAGGGAGTCAGCGATGCGTGTTTCAGCAGATAAATGCAGCATCGCTGCGTGTTGGTGCCGTTTTCTGCCTTTCGAACGGCGCGGCACGCTTGCAGAGGGATGCAGTGGGTATTGTAAAGACCTTTGCTTCTCTTCGCAGGCTACCTTTTCGGAGCACGACAGGGAAGAGCGCCACCGCGTCAAGAATTCCAAGCACCGCTTCTTCGAGCATCCTGCTCCGGAGAAACAGGCCTTTTCTCTCGTCTTGGAATACAAGGTTCCAGTGTAATCGTTTGTGACAGGTGCGAGCAGGAAACCTTTTCAATGAGGGGCTTCAAACCACTGTGCGAGAATCTGCGGTTCTAGGCTACGGCAGGCAGGGCCTTCCTCAGCAGTTCGGCGATTTTCCGTTGCACCTCGCGCCTCGAGGGGTGGTGTTTCCCGAACCCGGGCTCGTTCGTGGCTGTCCCAGGACTTTCCGGCTCTGCTTGATTTGCTTCGCAGATATGCTAAGGTGTGGCGTTGCTGACAATTTCGCTCACCTACAAGCTCTTCCACCGGAGCCAGAGTACGTCGGGCGCCTGAATACTACTTGCTCTTGCTCGCCTGGACGTGCATCTATGCAGGAAGCACCACACAATGGAAATGCGTAAGGGCCCTGGCTCCGTTTGTTTTTCCAAAAGCAGAGTGCTAGGGTGCTGGAGTCGCTGCTGGGGCGTTACTCAGCATCCAAATCGCTCAACTTGCTCTCGGTAGCCGCAGAGTTTTTGAGGAGCCAGATTATCTTGGGTTGACTTGGAGCACCTGGAGCACAGCGAAAGTTTCACCAGGTGGGAAGTGGGAGGGTCATCCTTGGCTTCGTTTGCAGTGTTCCCTTTCGTCACAAAGTCGCGTGGAGTAGCATTCGGTTGGAAGGTCGCAGCTCCGGCGCAGGAAATGTAGCGCCTGGCATCGTATTGACTTACTTGACCTGATCTGCATGTGCCGAAGGCGCAGCTGCATGACTCAAGTCTGAATCCAGAAAACTTGCATGCTCGAGGTTGTTTTGTTGAAGCAAAGGAGTATGCCTGAACGCTGATGAGATTGATGCTGATGCGACCGTGGCGTTTAATCAACTGTACAGGTAGACAAGCATGCTCAAAACACGTCTCTTCGGAAAGATTTGGTGAGGGAGCAGTGCCTTTAGAGAAAATGTGGAGGCCCAAGGCTCTTTCGTGGCAGAGTATCGAAGCTGTCTGCGCCATGGTGGACCGCATGCCAGTAGAGGAGGGTTGGGTGTACGGCCAGAAACCGAAGGATCCGGAGGCAAGGAGCACGTGTTTGTGGAGAAGTGTCGTGACTTTGATAGCATAGCGAGTTCAGGCGCCACCGGATCTCGAAAGTCTTTTTGAAGCGGCTGGGGTGTCGCTGGCGCTTTTCCCTGTCCTTGCCATTCTTGTATGTTGATCCTGCCGCAACTGCCCACAGGTACCAGACAAGCTTACAAACGGGCAGCCACCCTTTTCTCCTGAATGGTATGCAGGGGCGAAAGAGAGGCCAGTGCATGCCCTTCTGCGGCTGAGAATAAAAATGAGTTGTGTCAAGGCAGAGGGTCCGCGATGCGGAGATCGAGAAGATCATGAGCCAGCGCAATGATGTCCGTCACCAATGGGCAGAGTTGGTGCCCCTGGCCTGTCGTCTCGTACAGTTCTGATTCTCCAGCCTGTACTCTTGTGCAATTCCTAGCCCACCGAGACTGAGCCTTGATCGGTGTGTAGCAAACCGTCTTACGATTGACATGTGCCAGATGTGGACCGACCTGTCAGTGTGGCGGGACAGAATCGACTACACAGGCGGGGAAGACAGGTGATGGAGTTGTGTGAGAAGCTCGACTTGCCTCCTGCCTGGCAGCTTCTCTCGCCGAACCACTTGCAGACCTTCAAGCCCTGCTTGCACGAACAAAGCATGAGCGGCCAGGCCAGCTGTGAGCACCGTTGATCGGTTCGCTTCGTGCATGATCCCTGCAGATGATGTTGCCCGTTTCCAAGAGATCCAGGAGATTGCCGCGAAGGCGCTCACGCAGAGCCAGGACTGTCTCACATGGCATGCAACATGCCACGGCTTGTGCCAGGCCGGTGTCCGACAGGGTCAGGTCAGGAAGCACTTGGTCGAGGCCAAGGAGCAGATGATGGACATCGAGGCCCAGACATCGCCGTCCTCACCTTCCCTTCGTCGGCTAAGACTTCTTTTATTGGTGCAGGGCAAGGTTCGCTTGAAGGAGGAGGAAGACGAGGCTGCCGAAAAGGCGGCGGCATACTGTGCAGCCTGAGATACGAGGGCCGAGGGCTTGTGCCCTATCCTTGGTTTTCCTGTGCCCGAGGATCGCCTCGAAAAGAAGCGTCTGGCAGAGAAGCGCTGCGGCCTTGGCAACGCAAGCGCTTTGGATTCTGCCTCCACATCTGCACCACAGGCCGCCGTCGTGCCGAGAGAGCTTTGAAAAGAAACGAAGCTCTGCTGCTTGGTGAGGTCCGTAGCTGTGTGCCAAATCGAGATTCGCTGCACTCTCTAGGGATAAGCTTCCTTGACAGGATCCTCCGCCACTAGTCGAAGACTCAGAAGAAGAAGGCCTTCAGCCTGAAGACGATCCCAAGGCAGTGCAAGCTCAGCTTCAAGGCTCTGTTGTGCTTTGCTACTTCTGCGTTGCTTGCCGGAGCAGGATCTGATGCAGGAGCTGTGCAGAGCTCAGAGACACTTGAAGTGTTGCAGTGGCTACCACAGTTTGATTACTTCCCACTGATCACTCCCGCCAAGGATAGAAGCATCCCCCCAAGGTTGGAAGCTGACCTGTGGCTTCTTGAAAGCTAGCTGCCAGCTTTGTGTCTGAGACGACTGCTGCATGGACTCGTCGTAAAGGAAGGGAATGCTTGGGTGCTGGACGAAACACAACGGGTAAGGGACGGCAGCAACAGCTCGTCCGTTCTCTGTTTTGCACATCGGAAGTTTGTGCCATTCCGGAAGAAGCCAAGAACCGTGGAAACGGGGAGGTCTTGTCGAGAAAGATGCCCTCGTTGCTGGTGTTGCTGTGTTGGTTTTGGAGCTCTACATCAACTAGCGACACTTGGGTCAGGCTTCGGGCTTCAGAATCCCTGACTCGCTAAGTAAGCCTTCAGCATAGCTTACCATTTTTTTTGGCTTTTCGTTCCATCTTTCTTGCGAAATGCAGTCGGTATGGGGCACAGTCCGGACATCTGGTGCATGCAGCCCACACGCAGGGGTTAGGACGAGAAGCTCCAGAAGTGAGGATTCGCCTGCGGCCTTGCCCTCAGAAGAGCCAGCAGAATGCCAAGAAATCCACTCAGCGATGACTCGTTGAGGCGGCCTCGCTGTCAAATTCGCTTTCGCCTCCGCCTCTGTGCGGGCCCGAGACAGCGATCTGTCCCTCCTTAGGTCCTAGACATCGCAAACGAAGTCTGCGGTTTACCGAGGCAGAGAGGTGGTTTGGCTCGAGAGCTGCCCCCTCTGCACGATCCTCCACTGCCTCCGTTGGAATGAAGGGCTCTGAAGCGAGACGAATGGCATGCTCTTCTGCAAGATTTCGGATTTGCAGGCGCTGCTCCCAAATGGGATGATAGATCGCCTGCAGTTTCACCTTGCCACAGGGAGCATGTGGAAGACGTAGTTGGCGTTAGCCTGTAGGAACCTGCTTGGTTGGCAGTGTGACTTCCTGCAAGTGTGCAACCTGCGGTCCGGGTCGTTTTCGTATCGCAGAATCTTCTGCACCATGTTCATCTGCAGAGGCTTGCAGCCATGGATGGCTCGAGATGCTTGTTCAATACACCTTAGATGTTAGCTGACAATTCTGCAGCCTATGATTCGCCACAGGCACATCTCGTAAAGTGCAGCAATGTCATCAGCAAATGCCATGTTGCACAACTGCTTCTACGCAGCTTGGACATCCGCCCGTGAGCCAACCTCCCCCCTCCCCCGCAGGAGAGAACACTAAGTGACACGGGCACGGCTTGCTCCGTTGTTGGAGGCAAGCGCAGGCCGATCAGAGTGGAATCTAGATCTGTGCTTTCGAGCCGAGACTAGCTCATGTAGCCACACGAGGTGATGGGACCAGTTGGGGCACCTGTACCCGGACCGACAAATGTTGTGACTCTGGCATGTGAAGCAAGATGCTTGAAGTTATCTTATTATCGCAAGCGTCTCTATCCGGTGAGGGTTTGAAGAAAGGTTGCGCATATGTGCTTGACTAGTTGTTTGCGCATGATGGCATGTACAGTGTAAGTCCTGCAGCAAGAAAGCTCCAAAAAGCACACGGACCTGAGATAAAGAACGCAAGCGAATGCTGCATCACTCATCTCGTTCACTGCTGGAATGGAATCCCGCAGCATGTTGACTCAAAGAGAACGCAGATCATGTCACTCCTGGTGTGGCAGGTTTTTCAATATCCGATAGACAAACATGCATTTTGAAATTTTTTGGGCCGTTGGCGAAGGTCATTGCCAGTGGCGATTTGTGCAGGTATGCTTGTAGCCTCCCACTACGCCCTCTTCTTTGGGCGCTCAGCCTAGCGTGAAGGAGGGCCCCCCGCTGAAAACCTTGTTAGACATCAAGCATTCTCCTTTCACTCCCCGTTGGTTAGGTGTTGGATGCCATTTGTGTTGCTGGATAGGGCCCTCCGCCGATTTCTCACCAGCCTGTCCCATAACACGCCCACGGCTCATGCCCGCTGATTCTGTTGAGCGCCTGACTGGTTCCATGACGCATATCCCCTCTATGACTGCATTTACCCCATCTCTAGAGCAACAGATTAGCTCACCTGTTCAGGTAAGGCAGTAGAGTCACAATGATCATGCACTGCCTGCGCTTGCTCGCTCACTCAGTGGCAAACCCCACCCCCATCCCCCTCTTTCCCTGCAGTGGTGCATGGGTTTAAATGTGTCAGCACTCCCGGTGAGGAGGAATTTCTTGCCAGTTGTGGAATTTGTATTTCAGAACAGGGTTTTGCTTAGCACATGACTGGCATTAAGGAGCAAATGGTTGATATGCGTTTGCACTTCCGCTGT